CCCTGCACGACGGCCCTGGCGGGTTCTTAACAAACTCCCCTAGCGCCTCGTTCCACGCCTTCGATTACACGAATGGCCTTGGGAAGATGCTGCAGACTTACTTGCCGAAGGCTGGGGCCGTCGCAGACAAGCTTCGCGACTGCGTGATGCCATCTAACGCCGCCGAGAACGCGGTTGTGGATTTCGAACAAAAGATGGCGCGCCGCGCACGGGGCGAGTGGGTGCCCAACCCCTTCCGAGCCAGGCAGGGCAAGCTGGACTACGCGATCTGGAACGGCTCCGTCGGCAAGGCGCGAAACGGAGCGCGCTTCCCCCTGGCGGCTTTCACCCGCAACGCGGGTCGCAGATCACCAGAGAAGCTTGCTGAGAGGAATGAAAAGGAACAGAAGCGGAGGCAAGAGAAAGGCGCTTGCAAGGGCGGCCAGAAGGGCAGCAACAACGGATGCGACTCAGACACCGCAGTTGCGGGAAAGGGCGCTGAGCCGCCGCTGGTATCTCACCACCCCGCTTGGGGGTTTGAGCCTCTAGGTCGTGTCCCGACCCCCTCTTATGCCGCAGTTGCGGCTGGGCCCTCTGGCGCCAGCGGAAGCGGCGCGTGGAGGGCGGAGGATCCCGCGAGGGAGTGGAGGGCGGGATGGCGCGCTGATGAGTGGTCGAGCTGGGCAGGATGGCGCGCTGATGAGCAGAAGTGGTGGGATGATAATCGCGCCGCAGTTGCGGACAATGCCGCGGAGGGTTCGCCTCCTAATCGCACGTGGGCGGGCATGCCCGACCAGACGCAGAACGCGGGCCACGCGGGGCCGTGGAACGACCGCGCTCCCTGGACCTACGAAACGACACGTTGGCAATGGCCGCAGTTGCGGGCAAGTGCAGCAGAAGGTTTGCGGCCGCAGTTGCGGGTAAGAGCAGCAGAAGGTTTGTGGCCGCAGCCGCGGACAGCGCTTCGTCGAGACAAGTTGGCAAATCATCATTGACGCCATCGCCATCTTCCTCATCGATCGCCATCACCATCATGTCGCCCCTCATGTCGCCTCATGCAGCTGCTGCCCCTCATGTCGCCTTGCGTGGTAAGTGTTCAAAGCAGTCCCAGGGGACTGCTTTGAGGACTGCCTTGCAGCGTTCAAAGCAGTCCCAAGGGACTGCTTTGAAACGACCTCTCGCCCTCATTATATGGGCTTCTGGATTAACCCCCGCACGGCCTCAACTGCCCCAAGGGTAGCCTCAAAAGATCTCGGGGGCCCCCTTCTTTCGACGTCCTTTTCCTAGGGTGCCTTTGTCCTCTTTCGTCGCCCTCTTCCCTCTCCGCTCCATTCCTCCTAGCGACTGTTTTCTCCGTCTCTTCCTCCTCGTCCGTGTGTTTGTCTTCCTCCTCGTCCTTGTGCTTGTCCTCCCTGGCTCAAGCCGCGTTGATTCAGGCCGACTGCATCCGTGCATCTGTTGTACCAGTAGTCTATTGGCCGCCGACCCCCAGATGGGAAACGAAGTCCACGTGTGAGGTCGTCTGCCTCTTGGGAACTCGGAGCCGGCTGGGGCATTTTCTGGACCTCTCGGGGGCCTCCTTGGAGCCTCTTGGACTCAAGAGGGAAAGGCACGCAGGCACAATTAATCGTCGACCCCCAGGAAAATATAGGAAAATATGGGAAGTGGGGGGGAGGACAGAAACCCAGAACATATGGAAAACTATGGGGAATCCTTTTATTTGTGTATTTACTTGTGTGTCCCAAGGCCCCTTCATGGATGTTTGTTGGGAGCCTGCTGGCGGTCTCGGGGGTCATCTTGGGGCGGAGGGCTCGAGATGCCAGCCCGAGGTTCCCATTTCGGGCCCTCTTGGGGCTCTTTCGGGGCCGTCTTGAGCGACTGTCTGCGCCTCCCTTGCCGTTCCGAGGGTTCCCTTGGGCCGTCTTGGGGGTCCTGCAGCGATCTTGGGAGCCTCTTGGGCCGCTTGGAACGCTGCTGACACCAAAAGGGTGAACATGTAAAACATGAGAATCGTCCCAAGGAGTTGGGCGATGTTGGCCCCTCGGGGTCCTCGTCTGGCTCCCTTGGAGCTGCCTGGGGGCGTCTTGGAGGCTCCTTGGGCCGTCTTGAGGGCATCTTGATTGTTTTTGAGGCCTCCCTGTTGTGTTGGAGCCCGGCTTCAGCAGGCTTGCATGGAGTCTTGAGCATCTCGGAGGCTACGGGGTCCCCCCCCAAACAAAAACGGATCTCGAGGCCAATCACTTCACACGGCTTTGCATCCCTGCGAAAAGTTGCCAGCCTGGAGCATATACCTAACCCTATGCTGGGCACTTCCTCATCACGATGCCAATCTTAGGGAGTCCCTTATTGTTTGAGGGCGAATCCCTAAGATTGTCATCGCCTTTTGGCGTGTCAATCTTAGGCATATGGATACGTTCGAGGCTGGTTAAAAAAGGGGTCCGCGGATTTGGCAGATTGTGTGATTCGTCATGCAGCCGCAAGTGACGCGCGTTTTTCTTGCCGCGGTACAGATTTGGTCAGCATGTGCAGTGCGTCTGGTACCCCACGCGCCCATCTCGTCCCATGTGGAGCAGCTCGACCAGATCATTGGCGCAGCTCCACGATCTCTGGGACCAGATGTGGCTAGCCCCGACCTCTCGCAATGCGATGGTGAGTTGGACGCCGATATGTTTGTGCGTGGCGTGGCCTCCTATAGGGTCCCCCGTGCATCTCCAATGCCCGCTCAGCGTCTGGAGCGCCGCGCAAACAGACAAGACGCAAACAAGCGAATTGCTCTTGCACTTCGTGGAGAAAGCTTCCGGTCTGGGTCTTCAAACTCAGGTTTTCATCTAAGCGAGGGTGCGTACACGTGCAGTGACCACACATATAAGGTGCAATATGGTATTTGGAAGTCGCACAAGATAAATGTAATTGACATTCTGGAGAGAGAAGGTTATGAGGTCGATACTTACGTATTCACCAAGCCGTGCTACAATGGAAACAACTATCATCAAGATTTGATGCGGTGGTACAAGCCCAAGCGCTTCACATTGCTTAACAACGCAACTTTTGCGCACAAGGGGCGCCAAGGAATCTACGACCCCACGTTCAAAGGAGAATTCTGGCAGTCTGCTTTTGCAGAGCACCTCTTGGAAAGCATTAACCATCCAGAATATGAATCCATATTCATGGTCCGACTGGATCAGATGTTTGTTGACACGCCCATCACAGATATGATGATGGCAACTAGTGGCAAAAACGGGCTTCGCTTTCCGCAGCGAGGTGAAATATATGGCACAGAGAACCTGCAGTGGTTTCACTCCCTGGATAAGGCCAAGGTTCGTCGTCAGATCCGCGAGGGCTGTGTGTCGCGCGGGTTTGGGGACTGTGAGAATTTTGGCCTACACGACCTGCCGCTCGAGATTACCAACGTCCAGGCTTATTACGACGGCTCCTCACTGTTTTGGAAATGCCCCATGCAAGGCACGATTAGTAGCACTGAGTGGCAGTACTTCAGCGACAGAGGGTTCGACGGCTCGCTTGCGCGCCTTTGGATTACCAGGCCATTTGGTACAAGCTGCTGCAACGCTTCCTCAACGGTACTATCTTTTGGAAAATTCATTGCTTGAGCATTGCGAATTCACATCAGTCGGTTTACCTTTCGCGCCCGGGCGTGTTCTACATTGACCGCTGCTTTGCCGTCGCCATCGTGTTTGTCTTTGGCGCCCTTTGGGAAGGCGAATGGAAAACATCATCGCTTCTCGTTCTGATCCGATCTGGTTTTAAGGGGTCGCGGCAACTACACGTGACAGGCGAGGATTTTATATCCCAGATCCGCCGGCCCCCTTGTGGGGCCACCAGGCTGTAGGCGCGTGATTCGCAGTTTCCTGTGCCAGTCGTAGGTTGTAGTTTCCAGTGTTACAGTTCTGCTTCTTGCTGGTTACTGTAACTAGTTGACTTCTTGCTGGTTACTGTAACTAGTTGATTGACCGCGCGAGGGGGGGGGAGGCCCAAACAGGATTTTTAGCTTCACCTGGGCGCGTTGTCTGAATTGCTGGGGGGGCTCGAAATCGACACCCCTCACGCAGATCCGCGGGGTCAGGGTCCAAAAACACACGGGATTTGCCACATTTCTGAAATTCGGTGCCACCCCTCACGCAGATCTGCGGGGTCAGGGTCCAAAAACACAGGGATTTGCCACATTTCTGAAATCCGGTGCCACCCCTCACGCAGATCCGCGGGGTCAGGGTCCAAAAACACGGGGGATTTGCTACATTTCTGAAATTCGGTGCCACCCCTCACGCAGATCCGCGGGGTCGGGGATCCAAAAACACACGGGATTTGCCACATTTCTGAAATTCGGTGCCACCCCTCGCGCAGATCCGCGGGGTCAGGGTCCAAAAACACAGGGGATTTGCCACGTTTCTCAAAATTCAGTGCCACCCCTCACGCAGATCCGCGGGGTCAGGGTCCAAAAACACAGGGGACTTGCCACATTTCTGAAATTCGGTGCCACCCCTCACGCAGATCCGCGGGGTCAGGGTCCAAAAACACAGAGGATTTGCCACATTTCTAAAATCCGGTGCCACCCCTCACGCAGTTGCGGGCAAGTGCAGCAGAAGGTTTGCGGCCGCAGTTGCGGGCAAGAGCAGCAGAAGGTTTGTGGCCGCAGTCGCGGACAGCGCTTCGTCGAGACAAGTTGGCAAATCATCATTGACGCCATCGCCATCTTCCTCATCGATCGCCATCACCATCATGTCGCCCCTCATGTCGCCTCATGCAGCTGCTGCCCCTCATGTCGCCTTGCGTGGTAAGCGTTCAAAGCAGTCCCAGGGGACTGCTTTGAAGACTGCCTTGTAGCGTTCAAAGCAGTCCCAGGGGACTGCTTTGAAACGACCTCTCGCCCTCATTATAAGGGCTTCTGGATTAACCCCCGCACGGCCTCAACTGCCCCAAGGGTAGCCTCAAAAGATCTCGAGGACCCCCCTTCTTTCGACGTCCTTTTCCTAGGGTGCCTTTGTCCTCTTTCGTCGCCCTCTTCCCTCTCCGCTCCATTCCTCCTAGCGACTGTTTTCTCCGTCTCTTCCTCCTCGTCCGTGTGTTTGTCTTCCTCCTCGTCCTTGTGCTTGTCCTCCCTGGCTCAAGCCGCGTTGATTCAGGCCGACTGCATCCGTGCATCTGTTGTACCAGTAGTCTATTGGCCGCCGACCCCCAGATGGGAAACGAAGTCCACGTGTGAGGTCGTCTGCCTCTTGGGAACTCGGAGCCGGCTGGGGCATTTTCTGGACCTCTCGAGGGCCTCTTGGAGCCTCTTGGATTCAAGAGGGAAAAAGGCACACAGGCACAATTAATCGTCGACCCCCAGGAAAATATAGGAAAATATGGGAAGTGGGGGGGAGGACAGAAACCCAGAACATATGGAAAACTATGGGGAATCCTTTTATTTGTGTGTATTTACTTGTGTGTCCCAAGGCCCCTTCATGGATGTTTGTTGGGAGCCTGCTGACGGTCTCGGGGGTCATCTTGGGGCGGAGGGCTCGAGATGCCAGCCCGAGGTTCCCATTTCGGGCCCTCTTGGGGCTCTTTCGGGGCCGTCTTGAGCAACTGTCTGCGCCTCCCTTGCCGTTCCGAGGGTTCCCTTGGGCCGTCTTGGGGGTCCTGCAGCGATCTTGGGAGCCTCTTGGGCCGCTTGGAACGCTGCTGACACCAAAAGGGTGAACATGTAAAACATGAGAATCGTCCCAAGGAGTTGGGCGATGTTGGCCCCTCGGGGTCCTCGTCTGGCTCCCTTGGAGCTGCCTGGGGGCGTCTTGGAGGCTCCTTGGGCCGTCTTGAGGGCATCTTGATTGTTTTTGAGGCCTCCCTGTTGTGTTGGAGCCCGGCTTCAGCAGGCTTGCATGGAGTCTTGAGCATCTCGGAGGCTACGGGGTCCCCCCCCAAAACAAAAACGGATCTCAAGGCCAATCACTTCACACGGCTTTGCATCCCTGCGAAAAGTTGCCAGCCTGGAACATATCCCTAACCCTATGCTGGGCACTTCCTCATCACGATGGCAATCTTAGGGAGTCCCTTATTGTTTGAGGGCGAATCCCTAAGATTGTCATCGCCTTTTGGCGTGTCAATCTTAGGCATATGGATACGTTCGAGGCTGGTAAAAAAAGGGGTCCGCGGATTTGGCAGATTGTGTGATTCGTCATGCAACCGCAAGTGACGCGCGTTTTTCTTGCCGCGGTACAGATTTGGTCAGCATGTGCAGTGCGTCTGGTACCCCACGCGCCCATCTCGTCCCATGTGGAGCAGCTCGACCAGATCATTGGCGCAGCTCCACGATCTCTGGGACCAGATGTGGCTAGCCCCGACCTCTCGCAATGCGATGGTGAGTTGGACGCCGATATGTTTGTGCGTGGCGTGGCCTCCTATAGGGTCCCCCGTGCATCTCCAATGCCCGCTCAGCGTCTGGAGCGCCGCGCAAACAGACAAGACGCAAACAAGCGAATTGCTCTTGCACTTCGTGGAGAAAGCTTCCGGTCTGGGTCTTCAAACTCAGGTTTTCATCTAAGCGAGGGTGCGTACACGTGCAGTGACCACACATATAAGGTGCAATATGGTATTTGGAAGTCGCACAAGATAAATGTAATTGACATTCTGGAGAGAGAAGGTTATGAGGTCGATACTTACGTATTCACCAAGCCGTGCTACAATGGAAAAAACTATCATCAAGACTTGATGCGGTGGTACAAGCCCAAGCGCTTCACATTGCTTAACAACGCAACTTTTGCGCACAAGGGGCGCCAAGGAATCTACGACCCCACGTTCAAAGGAGAATTCTGGCAGTCTGCTTTTGCAGAGCACCTCTTGGAAAGCATTAACCATCCAGAATATGAATCCATATTCATGGTCCGACTGGATCAGATGTTTGTTGACACGCCCATCACAGATATGATGATGGCAACTAGTGGCAAAAACGGGTTTCACTTTCCGCAGCGAGGTGAAATATATGGCACAGAGAACCTGCAGTGGTTTCACTCCCTGGATAAGGCCAAGGTTCGTCGTCAGATCCGCGAGGGCTGTGTGTCGCGCGGGTTTGGGGACTGTGAGAATTTTGGCCTACACGACCTGCCGCTCGAGATTACCAACGTGCAGGCTTATTACGACGGCTCCTCACTGTTTTGGAAATGCCCCATGCAAGGCACGATTAGTAGCACTGAGTGGCAGCACTTCAGCGACAGAGGGTTCGACGGCTCGCTTGCGCGCCTTTGGATTACCAGGCCATTTGATACAAGCTGCTGCAACGCTTCCTCAACGGTACTATCTTTTGGAAAATTCATTGCTTGAGCATTGCGAATTCACATCAGTCGGTTTACCTTTCGCGCCCGGGCGTGTTCTACATTGACCGCTGCTTTGCCGTCGCCATCGTGTTTGTCTTTGGCGCCCTTTGGGAAGGCGAATGGAAAACATCATCGCTTCTCGTTCTGATCCGATCTGGTTTTAAGGGGTCGCGGCAACTACACGTGACAGGCGAGGATTTTATATCCCAGATCCGCCGGCCCCCTTGTGGGGCCACCAGGCTGTAGGCGCGTGATTCGCAGTTTCCTGTGCCAGTCGTAGGTTGTAGTTTCCAGTGTTACAGTTCTGCTTCTTGCTGGTTACTGTAACTAGTTGACTTCTTGCTGGTTACTGTAACTAGTTGATTGACCGCGCGAGGGGGGGGGAGGCCCAAACAGGATTTTTAGCTTCACCTGGGCGCGTTGTCTGAATTGCTGGGGGGGCTCGAAATCGACACCCCTCACGCAGATCCGCGGGGTCAGGGTCCAAAAACACAAGGGATTTGCCACATTTCTGAAATTCGGTGCCACCCCTCACGCAGATCTGCGGGGTCAGGGTCCAAAAACACAGGGATTTGCCACATTTCTGAAATTCGGTGCCACCCCTCACGCAGATCCGCGGGGTCAGGGTCCAAAAACACAGGGGATTTGCCACATTTCTGAAATTCGGTGCCACCCCTCACGCAGATCCGCGGGGTCAGGGTCCAAAAACACAGGGATTTGCCACATTTCTGAAATTCGGTGCCACCCCTCACGCAGATCCGCGGGGTCAGGGTCCAAAAACACAAGGGATTTGCCACATTTCTGAAATTCGGTGCCACCCCTCACGCAGATCCGCGGGGTCAGGGTCCAAAAACACAGGGGATTTGCCACATTTCTGAAATTCGGTGCCACCCCTCACGCAGATCCGCGGGGTCAGGGTCCAAAAACACAGAGGATTTGCCACATTTCTGAAATTCGGTGCCACCCCTCACGCAGATCCGCGGGGTCAGGGTCCAAAAACACAGGGGATTTGCCACATTTCTGAAATCCGGTGCCACCCCTCACGCAGATCCGCGGGGTCAGGGTCCAAAAACACAGGGATTTGCCACATTTCTGAAATTCGGTGCCACCCCTCACGCAGATCCGCGGGGTCAGGGTCCAAAAACACATGGGATTTGCCACATTTCTGAAATTCGAACCCATCACGCACATCCATCGCAAGGCGTGGTAATCCAAACTGCGAGAACTCCCTCGGCCATTTAATCGCAAGGTGTGGTAACCAAGCCCTTAAACCATACACGTCTTACCAATCGCCAGGTGTGGTAACCCCTCTTGTGATCAGTTGGTTTTGCTGATTGCGACTCGGCTTCGCATGAAGTTTCGATACTGTTTCACGACAGCGCCAAGGCCTCATGACTTAGCTCTTCCAGGGCCCATTCTCCGAGAGAGGGGGCCGGCGGCAGGGGGCGAAGCCCTTACGGATATTCAATCGTCTCCCGGGTCAGGTTTTTTAAGGCGCCTTTTTCCTCATTGCAGGCCAGGGCCGGCGCCGCTATCTTGGGGAATTTCTGGAATTTTCTTGATTTTTTTGATTTTTTGGAATTTCTGGAATTTCTGGAATTTCTGTGATTTCTTTCTTTGACGTGCGCGTTGAGAATGCTGCTTAGGAGTGTTACAATTTTACACATCCCACGAAACTCCTTAGAAATTCCAGAAATTCCAGAAATTCAACAATTTCAAGACATTTTATAGAAATTCCAGAAATTCTAGAAAATCCAGAAATTCCAGAAATTCCAGAAATACCAGAAATCCCAGACATTCCAGACATTCCAGACATGCCAGAAATTCCAGAAATTCCAGCAATTCCAGAATATGCAGAAATTCCCGACTTTCCAGAAATTCCAGCAATTCCAAAAATCCAACAACTATTCAGAAAATTGTTGGAATAGAGAATAATGCGAGGTGAGTGGCGCATTCTGAGTAGTGCGTTGTGAGTATATGGGGTTAGGCGTAGGGGCTGAGGGGACTAGACGCGAGTGGCGTAGATGGGGTTAGGCGTAAGGGCTAGAGCTAGGTTTTGGGGTTAGGCGTAGGGGTTAGGGTTAGGGGTTAGGGTTAGTGTTAGGGGTGGTCGGGGTCGGGTTCCGGAGCTCGGGTGCGCCGTGGCTAAAGGGGGGGAGGGGGGGTGGTTGATTTTGGCCCCCCACGTTTGAAAAGGGGGGAGGGGGGTGTCCCCGACGACGGATCGGGAAAAGGGGGGAGGGGGGGTCCCCGACGACCGATCGTGAAAGGGGGGGGGTCCCCGACGACGGATCGGGGAAAGGTGGGGTGGGGGGGGGAGGGGGTCCCCCCCCGCCCCCTTTTGGGGGGATCCAGCGGTGCACCCTCCTGCTTTGCCGTGTTCCTGGTCTTTTCCTGCCGTGCTCGGCAGCTGTTGGGGTCTATTCTGCCGTGCTCCTGGTCTTCTTCTGCCGTGCTCCTTAGCTCTTGGGGTCTATTCTGCCGTGCTCCTGGTCTTTTTCTGCCGTGCTCCTGCGCACTTGGGGCATATTCTGCCGTGCTCCTTGTCTCTTGGGTTCTATTCTGCCGTGCTCCTGGTCTTTTTCTGCCGTGCTCCTTCGCTTTTGGTGTCTATTCTGCCGTAATCCTTAGCTCCTGGGGTCTATTCTGCCGTGCTCCTAGTCTTTTTCTGCCGTGCGCCTTCGCTCTTGGGGCCTATTCTGCCGTGCTTCTGGTCATTTTCTGCCGTTCTGCTTAGCTTTTGGGTTCTATTCTGCTGTGCTCCTGGTCTTTCTCTGCCGTGCTCCTTCGCACTTGGGGCATATTCAGCCCTGCTCCTTAGCTCCTGGGGTCTATGCTGCCGTGCTCCTAGTCTTTTTCTGCCGTGCTCCTTCGCTCTTGGGGCATAGTTTGCCGTGCTTCTGGTCTTTTTCTGCCTGCTTCTTAGCTCTTAGGGTATATTCTGCCGTGTTCCTGGTCTTTTTCTGCCGTGCTCCTTCGCTTTTGGTGTCTATTCTGCCGTACTCCTTAGCTCTTGCGGTCTATTCTGCCGTGTTCCTGGTCTTTTTCTGCCGTGCTCCTTCGCTCTTGGGGCCCATTCTGCCGTCCTCCTGATCTTTTCCTGCCGTGCGCGCCCAGAAGCTCCGTCAAAACGACCACCGCGACGATCCGCACGGCAGAATACAGGAACACGGCAGAACACACAGAGCACACAGAGGCACGGCAGAACACAGAAGCACGGCAGAACAGGAGCACGGCAGAACACACAGGAGCACAGCACAACACACCCCGCGCGCACGCCGACACGCGCGCCACGGCATACCTGCGCGGCGTAACAACAGAGCATATTCCACATGCTTGGTGGACTAAAGCGACGCTTCCCGTTCTTGTCCGTTCAGGTTCTCCAAAACAGCGATTTCGCCCGAGACATCCTCACACCATCGAGATCTTGGAGGTTTTCGTGTAAGACGTTATATTTACAAAATGAGCGTTTCGCTCGCTCCTGGGTTGATACTTGTCCTTCCAATCCTGCTTGTCTCCTACGGCGTGATATAGGCCACCCTACGCCGATAGAAGTACTTGCTGAATATGGGTGCCGACGAGGCCAGCTCTGCTATGTCCAGGGCCCCATTCTTTCAATACCTCCACCCTACTCCCTCCTTTTCGCCCTCCTCTGGCTAATTCATACAGCGCTGCTGGGGGGTCACCCGGGTGCTGTATGCCTTTGAGCTTCGCCGAGCATAGGATTTCTTCATTATCATATCTCCTCTCCTCCTTGTCGCTTCAGGCTCAGCGAAGCTGTCTTCCTCTAAATCGGAGCTGGCTCATCATTGGCTCCTGGGTTGATATTTTTTCTTTCAATCCTGCTTGTCTCCTACGGCGTGATATAGGCCACCCTACGCCGATAGAAGTACTTGCTGACGGGTGCCGTCCAGACCAGCTCTGCTAGGTGGAAGGCCCCATTCTTTCAATACCTCCACCCTGCTCCCTCCTTTTCGCCCTCATCCTCCTCCTTCCTCTTCATTTTGCCGTACAGCGGCTTGTCGAGTTGCGCGTGTGCTCATCCAGAATCAGAGACCGTTATCGGAAACACGGCCCGCGCTATAGGCGCTACGCACGTCCATCGTCGCTCGGTGGCGATGCCAGGAAGCAGAGAGCGAGACCTCGCATCACGGTTCTAGCCCACCCCTCTGAAAGCACCCGCTCCAGCTTTTGTGCCTTGGGGGCACTCCTGTTACTCCTGGGGGGGGGAGCGAGGGAGGGAGAAGGGTAGAAGAAGCAGGATGGTGTGGAGAAAAGGACGAAAAGGTGCCCTCCTAATTATTACTCTTGGGGCACATATACATACAACGGGGGACCGGGCGGCCGTGTACAAAGTTTGCAGGGCGGCACTGTGAGATTGAAAGGTTTTGGTGGGCAGCATTTCGAGACAAAATCATCTATTCTTTCAGTCCGGAGCTTCTGCCGTAACGGGGTGGTCGTCGAAGACGCCTCTGACGCATCCGTGCTTTCTGAATCAAATACTCGTGTGTTTGGTATGTTGATTGATCCAAACATGCAGTGTCGCACCATTGTGCGTGCTCATGTCGATTCCTTGCCGATGCGCCGTTGCCTGGCGCCTGGCTTGACTGGGGGACCGGGCCCGGGGGCCCCGGGGCCGCGACCCCGACCACGAATGGGAGGCCCGGGGGCCCGGCCCGCTCCTGGGGGGCCCCAGATCGGCCTCCAGAGCGCTCAGACTGCCGTCCAGGCGCTTCAGGAGGGCCCCCAATCGCCCCACAGACGACCTGCAGGGGTGTGAAACGGCCCAGGAGAGCTTCAAGACGCTTGAAGAGGCGCCCCTGACAGCCACAGGGAGCCCCAGGAGACCCCCCAGGACGCCTCCGAGAAGCCCAAAACTTCAAAAACCCGATCGAAGGGAAATCGATGATTTTGGCCTCCTCGCCTTGTCGCCTCCGATGGTCTCTTCAAGCAGATCGCCCCACCGAGGCTCCCAGGAGGCTCCAAAACGCCCCCAAAAGCTCCCAAGAAGCTCTAAGAAGCCCCAAGAGGCTCCCAAGAGGCCCCCAAGAGGCCCCAAGAGACCCCCAATGGCCCCCAAGAGAAGCCCGAGAGGGCCCCAAGATCGGCCCAAGAGGGGAACCCGAGCTGCCTTTTCGAGCTCTCGGCCCCAGGATCGCCTTCGAGGTCGCCGACAAGCTCCCAAGAGGCCCCCAAGGGGCCCCAGGACGCCTCCGGGAAGGCACTACGAGACCCCCAAGAGGCCCCCAATTGGGCTCTGAGAGATTGCCAAAGAGACCCTATGATACGCCCATGAGGCTTGTGGCCCACAACCCAGGCACATTCCCCTGATCGGCCCCAGACCGCCGTCCAGGCGACTCGGGTAGGCCCCGAATCGCCCCCAAGATGGTTTCGAGGAGTCTCCAACGGCCCCGAGAGGCAAGCATGTACGTGTGCAATGGTGTGTGCTTACATATGTGTGCATGCAAAGTTCGGTGTCCGCTCCCTTCTTCTCCCTCAAAATTATCCCGGCAAAGCAACCTAACAGCGATGTGTAGAAGCATATATGGAAGCATTCCCCTTAAGATTCAGATGAGAATCCAGTTGTAGAGTTCTGCTGTTCTCGCAGTCGCAGTCGCATTCGCGATGACAGTCGCAGTGGCAGCGGCAGTCGCAGTCACAGCCTCAGCCTGCCTCAGTATCAGCCTGCCTCAGCCTCAGCCTCAGCCTGCCTCAGCCTCAGCCTCAGCCTGCTTCAGCCTCAGCCTCAGTCTGCCTTCAGCCTCAGCCTCTGTGCCTCAGCCTGCCTCAGCCTCAGCCTGCCTCAGTCAGCCTCAGCCTCAGCCTCAGCCTGCCTCAGCATCAGCCTGCCTCAGCGTCTGCCTCAGCCTGCCTCAGCCTCAGTCTGCCTTCAGCCTCAGCCTCAGCCTCAGCCTGCCTCAGCATCAGCCTGCCTCAGCCTCAGCCTCAGCCTCAGCCTGCCTCAGCCTCAGCCTGCCTCAGCGTCTGCCTCAGCCTGCCTTCAGCCTCGGCCTCAGCCTCAGCCTGCCTCAGCCTCATCAGCCTCAGCCTGCCTGCCTCAGCCTCAGCCTCAGCATCAGCATCACCATTCTCAGCCTCTGCATCAGCATCAAAATGCGGCCCGGGAATGGAGTTCTGGGAACTCGAAGAGCACGAAGTGGCCTACAGTTGGCTCCGGGCATTCAAAATGTGGCCCAGGAATGGAGTTCTGGGCACTCGAAGAGCACGAAGTGGCCTACTGTTGGCTCCGGGCATTCAAAATGTGGCCCGGGAATGGAGTTCTGGGAAATCGAAGAGCACGAAGTGGCCTACAGTTGGCTCCGGGCATCCAAAATGTGGCCCGGGAATGGAATTCTGGGAACTCGAAGAGCACGAAGTGTGTGACTGTTGCATCCGGTCCAAATGTGGCCCGGGAATGGCGTTCTGGGAACTCGAAGAGCACGAAGTGTGTGACTGTTGCATCCGGTTATTCTAAATGTGGCCCGGGAATGGCGTTCTGGGATCTCGAAGAGCACGAAGTGTGTGACTGTTGCATCCGGTTATTCAGAATGAGCCTGGGAATGGAGTTCTGGGAACTCGAAGAGCACGAAGTGTGTGACTGTTGGTGAAAAACGAGCGGGGCCCCCTGCCGCCCGGCAACTCCCAACACCTGCCCGGACCCCCCTGTGGAGTGATCTGTGAGCTCTTTTTACCCCACTAGAAACCTATCAGTCTTCGCTGTTAGGTAAAAATGTGTGCATGCAAAAGGCGAGAGACAACACTTAGCCGGGGGATGGGCTCAACCCTAATCATGCAGTTGCGTGTAGCGCAGGGCGCGGCTCTTTCTTCTTGCCCCAAAGACGTCCATGACTGCAACTGCCGCTGCTCGAGGTGTGGTGGCGGGTGCTTCGAGCTCGGGGGAGGGATCTGACAAACTCGCTGGCACGGCCAGCCAACACAGGCGCCTTTCTGCCTGTCCTTCTGCTGGCTCGGCCAGCCTCCGTGCGCTAGTACCTGCCGCGTAAAGCCTGGTGCCCGCCGCTGCGGCCACTGGGTGTAAGGCGTCCCGTGCACTGTACCCACGGGAGGTGCGGGTGGCGTATCGGTTTGGGCGTCCTTGCGGTCGCCTATTCGAGCGGGAGGATTGGCACGTCTTTGTTAATCCTCCTGCCATCCACCATTCATGAGCACGGTGCCAGTCTGTGACGCGCACCTCTGCTAGCTCGCTCGCTCCCCCAAAGAAGTCACTGCGAGGTCCCCACGTCGTCGTCGTCACCGTCTGTGGTCCGTCGTCCGTCGTCGTCGAGAGCCGCCGAGCGCCACCGAAGGCTGGCGAAGCAGAGAAAGGAGAGGAGGACGAGGAGGGAAGCAGTCGGATGAGGAGGCAAAAAGGAGGAGGGGGAGGAGGACGAGGAGGGGAAAGGAAGAGAACGTTCGGCAGGAGGAGTGTCGGTGTTGAAACCAGCGCCTCGCTCAAGACGTCCTCGCAATCTGATCTGAAAGCGAAGGAGTCTGGACAACCAAACAGGCAAAACGCCTGAGATATCCCAAAACTCTGGGCGCGAACGGGCCTGTGCAATACCCCCTGGCGGCCGCCCTCGGGGTGCTGAAAGCAGCGCCTCGCTCGATGCACTCGCAAATTGACTGTGAGAAGAACCTGAGTGTGAGTGGTCTGTGTGAATGACTCTGAGTGTGGGTGAGTCAGAGTGTGAGCGATTCTGAATGTGTATGCGTAGGGGCGCGAGTGAGTCTGAATATGCTCAAGCCCTGGCAATCTGCTCTGAAAGCATAGAAATCTGGGGGAATGGGCAAACACAGGCAAACCGCCTGAGACATCCCCCAACATGAGACCTGAGTACGAGTGCGTATCTATCATATGCGGGCCCACGAGGGGGAGCTCCAACTCACATTTCGAGCCCTCCGCCCCAAGTCGAACCCCGAGACCGCCAGCAGGCCCCCAGGAGGCCCTCAAGAGGGCCCAAAGAGGCCCCAAGAGGCCCCCAAACAGTACTTGGGACTAGTGCGCCTGGATTCTAGATAGATTAGGTGTGCATGTCAGCTCTGTAGCCCTTCTACAGCTCGAGGTAAGTTCAGAAAACCGGCAGCACCTGTCAAGATGACATTAAACAGCTGATCCCGCCCACATGCTTTTTGACAGCAATATGTACCCGATCGATATGAGATGGAATCAGATCGAATATGCAGGGAACAACTAGTAGAGCTCTAACGACCTTGTAAATTTCGAGAACATAATGTTCAACCGACCAAAAATATGCAGAACTTCCGTCGAGATTTTTCGGGCCAACTAGCCCCCGAGCGCATCGGGATTATTTGTAACTAGCGTGTTTCATGATTACGTCCCGATTGCTGTGCCGAACAGCTCTAGAGCTTATCTACAGCTTGAGTTGCACTAAGGAAATCATCTTCATCTCTTAAAACATAGCAGAGTACGAATAGTTTGTTGGTCCTAGCTCTGGTAGCAAACCGAGTTCAGACATCTAGATTATTGAGACTAGCGCTCCGATTTTCTTTCGAGTGCTCTGCCGAACAGCTCTGTAGCTCATCTGCAGCCCGATTTAAGTTAAGAGAAGACATCATCCCATGAAAATAATAGTAGAGTTCGAATAGGTGTTTGGTTCCAGATCTGGCAGCAGACGGAGTTCAGGCATCTGGATACTTGTAAGTCGCGCTTTTTTATGACTACCTTCCGACTGCTGCCGAACAGCTCTGCAGCTCATCTGCAGCTCGAGTCGCATTGAGGAAATCATCCTCATTGAAAAATTAGCAGAGTACGAAGAGGGTCTGCTACCAGATGGAACCAAAAACCTACTCGGACTCTGCTAGTTTTTTTGAGATGACGCTTATATGCTTAAGTTCAATCGAGCTGCAGATGAGCTACCGAGCTGTTCGGCACAGCACTTGGAAGACAATCCAAAGGCGCGCTAGTTCAAGTATCTAGATGCCTGAACTCGGTCTGCTGCACGAGCTGTAACAAAACAACTATTCGTACTCTGCTAATTTTAAAGAGATAATGATAGTTTGTTCCGACTTCATCCGATTTGTAGGCTGGCTACGGACCTGAAACAAAAACACTTGTCGAAGCTGAAGGTAACCAGGTACATTCGCCTACGGTATCGAGGCGTCTGAATTCGGATTGCAACCATAGCTACGACCGGACAACTATTCGCGCTGTTTGTATTGTACCAGAGATGATGTGCGCGTCTGCATTGCAGGCCAGGGCCGGCGCCGCT